CTCCTATAGGGATTTATGTCAGCCATATCTGGGTGTGAAACCGACAGGGTGCATGCCATCCTTACCGAATGATGCTTTTCACGGTCATCAAGCCTTGCATCGATCTTAGGCCTGTGACCGTTTACAACCTCCTTAATCCACGGTGCAGGTTTCTTCTGGGCCCTTCCTCGAGTAGGTTTCGTCGTCTGGTCCTTCCCTCGATGATTTGGTGAACTGGCATGCAGGCAAGTCAAAGGTGTTGATGAAATGTATCGGCGACATGCTGGAGCCTCTAGGGCCCTCGAGGTCCGTAGACTTCTCATTGTAGAAAATTAAAAGGATATGGCACCATATTTTAGCGAAGAAGAGATGTGAAATAAATCAGAACCATATATCAACGGGTGACTACCTTGATCAACCAAAGAATTCAAAGCATAACCGTGGTGCATGAGCTTAACTTGGTCAACTTTTTTTTCTGGGTCCACGGACCCTGTTGGCTGCCGCGCGCCAATGAAATGCATCAACGCGGTAGACAAGGCGGCACTAGAAATCGTCGGTCGAACCTTTCGCCGATCAGGGATTCTCTGAAACTGATTGATGCATCACCATGTGAAGAAATTGATGACGTAAGATGGCTCATTGGTGTATCGCTGAGTTCAGGCGTCGCATCTCAATGCATCATACCATTCAGGCACCCAATTAATCTTCGGCAACCTTCTCCTACATATGTTTCGGGCCTGCTTCCATTCTTTATCCCGTTGCTTTTTAATGCTTGATTGATCGGAGCCTGCCTCACCTTTGCTATTAAACGGGTGAAACCCGATTGCGCTTGACTCAAGAAAATCCAACGAGACCCTACTGACGAACACCGTCTATCCCACATCGCAGCCATGGCATCGTCATCATCCCCTTCTACCCCCCTCCTATAGTATGTTTTCTCCTATCGCTGTCCCTTCTATGGGCACTGTCATACTAATTCTCCTGATGTCTGTAGCGCCTGCATCGCCCACCACACCACCATCCTCTCTGAATGTACAACCTCAGCGTCATCAAAGACCTCGTCCCTCGCATCTCTCATCCTGCCCAAGATCGAGCACACGACCGCGCAGAAGCTCACCTACACCCACGGCCAGCACCAGATCCACTACGTCGCCGAGTCCTTTGCCGAGCATGCCGACCAGAACGGCGCCGGCGGCCTGACCTTCCTCGTCATCGCCGATTCGTCCCTCGGCCGTCGCGTTCCCTTTGGCTTCCTCTTCGAGGTCCGCAAGCGCTTCTTCGCCCAGTTCCCCGTCAGCTCATACTTTGCCGACATGCCAAACTACGGCGCGGCCTCCTTCAACGGAGAGCTGAAGAACCTGATGGTCGACTACGGCACCACGGCCAGCGGGCAGGAAGATGCGATCGGAAACGCGAAGCGCGAGATTGACGACGTCAGGGGTATCATGACCAAGAACATCGAGAGTCTGCTGGAGAGGGGAGAGCGCCTGGATCTCCTGGTGGACAAGACAGACAGGCTTGGTGGAAGCGCGCGGGACTTCCGCGTACGGAGCCGGGGCCTTAAGCGCCAGATGTGGTGGAAGAACATCAAGCTCATGGCTCTCCTTGCGCTTGTTGTCATTCTCATCATTTTGGGGTTGGTTGTTGCTCTCAAGAACTGAGCCAGCATTGGGACTAAGTTGGAAACACATTCGACCTGATTTGCTTTTTAACGCAGGGAAGTTCGGTTCAGGGGGCTCAGGCAAAGAAGTGCCAATGGAAGAATAGTAAGAGCGATTCGTATCGGGGTGGGATTGGTATATGCAACTCTTGGGTGGGCTCTTTTGGGTTCCTGGTGGGATTCGTCGACGCATGTATTTCTAAGGCGCAACACTCTCTTTTGTTCATTGAGGCTAGGCCCTCATCCTCTCTGCATACCGCAGTAAACAATTTCATTCCGTTAAACGCTGAAATCCTGGCATTGCATTGTCTAGCCAGATGCTCATGCTAGTTGCGAAGCAAGGGTGCTGCTTGAGCTGCAGAAAATTAATACGCCATGTCCACCCTGGCAAAAAGGCTGGTTTGAAAGAATAGAAATAATAATATCACCCCATTGGAGGGTCTTCCTCGCTCTCATCCCGCTGTTCTCTGTCCTCTGAATGGTATCAATATGAGTGAATCATGCCAACCTTTGCAAGAAATCCGTCACCCCTGTCCCTGATCCAGTATGGAAACTATCCGATACCGCTACAGCTCGTTTCTTTTTTTTTCGACCCAAATTCGTACCGGCTAGACTTGCCCATCGGAAGGTGGCCCCCTCATTCGACGGCCTTGGGTTCCGAACTAGTTCCGAACACTCATAACTTGAAAGTCGGGCCTGTTTTCATGGTCTCTTGGTAGGAATATCCGAATGTGACGGGGCTGTGGGTGGCAGTGCCTGAGATACCGGCAAAGGGAGACCTGCGCAAGCGATCTGTGAAGAATGCAGGATGCATGGTGGTCGCGTTGTGAGGTTGAGGTGCTAGTGTATTGATTGGCCTCATGGCCGGTGCGTGATCTGAGTAGCAGCTGAGGCCCATGACGGCGAGATGAGAGCACCTGAAGGCATTAAAGAGCTATGGAGACAAGGGAGAGAAGCAATGAGACAGGAAGATCGTGTGCTAGCTCCCGTATTTCTTTTGTGTTGGTCATCGGCCTAATCGCCGTCGAGACGGAATCAATGCCTATCTTGCGTCATGAGAGATGACTAATCTACAGGGCCGAGTCACTATTTCCTGGGGTAAGGAGATTTAACGAAATGGTGGAGTTCCGTGCCTCGGCTGGTTGACCATCACAGATGAAAGATGGTCTTGGTACACCCGCCGACCAATTGCTATGTTTGAGGGGAACATGTGAAAGGAGCACACGCTGTCATCGTAATTCAATAGCGTTCTATTTCTTTTGTCTATCCAATCCCGTGTCTTAAATCGTCGTTATTATTTCTTGCTCTTCCTTTTGCTGGCTTTTCCTGAACCGTCGGCCTTTACGGTGTCGTTACTAGTGGTGTTCTTGTTCGGCTTCTGCTTCTCAGCGTCCTTCGCCTTACCCTTCTTGATGGCGCTCAGCAAGCTCTCAATCTCCTCTACCCTCTCCTGGTCTTCTTTTGCCTCGGCAGACTTGGTTTCCTTGACCTTTTCCGAAGCTCTCTTCTTCGCCGAGGCCTTTTCCACCTTCTCAATTAACGCATCGCTCTCCTCCCAAAGCTTCTTCGCCACCTCCTCGTCCCTCACTTCTGAACGAGCGAAATCCACCTCCTGACACTCCTTGATTAATTTTGCACCCTCACCTCTACCGAGGCCCTCTTCCATAGCAGCGTAGAGAAAAGATTGGGCGCCCTGGTTTGCTGATTTGAGCAGGAACCAGGGAATAAAGTAGGCTCCTAGATAGAGTGCGAGGCCAAAGAGGGAGCCCCTGGTAACCCATCTGAGAGTGCCCGGAGTACGGGAGAAGCCCGGGTCGGCGAAGATAACTCTCGCGTTCATGGGGAGACCGTCGGGCCGCTTGTAGGAGTCCAGGTGCTTCTGGAAAGCACGGCCGAAACACAGGAGGGCCAGCTTGCTGCGGGCGTAGGCCATGCCGGGGGTCCAGTTGCTCTCGTCAAAGGTTTCCTTCAGGGAAATCGACCCAATGTAGGAAGAGCACGAGGCGATGACGATGCGTACATCTCGATCGACAGGTTGTGCCCGGAGTGCCGGGCTGAGTATACCCAGCAGGTGGAAGTTGGCCAGAAAATTAACCATCCATGTCTCCTCGATCCCTTCTGCCGTCTCCTTCCTCTTTCCATTGGGGGCCGTCATGGTGGCCGCACACAGGACAATCATGTCCAGCCGCCTGGGGGGCGCATTGTCGATCCATTTCGTGGCAAATTTTCGAACGCTGTGTAGGCTCGAGAGGTCGACCTGCTCGGCGTAGATGAGCTGGTTGCCGTATCGATCTCGTAGGTCCTGGATGTACTCGACGAGGAAGGGGTCGGAGACGGGGGTCTGCGTGAGGAGAACCAGCTGTGCACCGCGGGAAGCGAGATGATGTGCGACGCGCGAGCCTATCCCGGAGGTTCCGCCAGTTAATAGCACGACTTTGCCGTGGAAGTTGCGGTCGGACAGGTTGGTGCGGCCGGATGTGTAGAGTTTCAGCAGCACGAGGGTGGCTACGGCGATGGCCGAGTAGAGGATCGTGAAGGCATGTTCGCGAAGCCAGTCGGGAGGGCCGTTGACGACGATTTCGAAGGCGAATGGGAGGGGCATCGTGGTCGGGGGAGGAAGACGCTCGAGCGGGACTCGGCTGGTTAAAAAATTTAGGAGAAAGAACTGCTCATCGAAGTTCGAAGCGGGGGATGGGTCTGTTCCTGTAGCTCCCAGGATTGGCAGATATCGAAGGCTCGTCGGGGCCAAGCTGTCAAGAAAACATGTGGGTGGGTTATTTGGAGATACGGATGGAGCTTGGGCCACGCACTTTACGCGTCGCTGATATCCAAGACTCGACTCCTACCTTCGGACTTAGAATCAGATACGGATTTCGCATTTAACACGGGATGTAGTTCAACTATTCATTTGCTTTTAATTCATTTCCACCCAGGTTGTTTTAGCTTCATCTCTGAGCCCTTGTACCGCAAATACCGATCTCATATGCCCCATTTGCGAAGATATCGTCCCAGCCAAGCCCAATTAACGAAGCAAGTTAGCAGTGCTGTTGTGCAATCCATCGAAAATATCTTGCAGAAGTGCTTGGTTTCTTGCGAATTTCAAAAATTTCCCGTATAAAACCTCACGAACCCCGTTCATTTCAACCGCATCTGACCAATAAAACCCGTAATTTCCAGTGCTTCCCAACGCCAAAACCCAGCGTTGCATCTCGATCCTCAGCTATTCTCGAATAAAGTCGACGATTCAGCTAAGACATATCCCTACTAGATGGTATAAATAAACCCCGAGGGGCCAGATTAGGTCTATTCCGGTCCCATAATTCGAGAGAGTGTCGATTAGTGGCGATGACACGTCCGCGACTTAACCGCTTTTCTGTTTTGAGTTCACGGTATTTGACTTCTTCTTCTGCTTTGGCCCCTTCGATTTCACTCTCTGTATGGGTGCGAAGAGTTTCTGCAGCCTTTCGTCATCCAGGACTGCAGGCTTGTGGTTATCATCCTGCAGAGCATAGTCCACTGCCAGTGCCTTGTCGTTCTGGAGCTTGAAAATATATTGATCCATGGGCGTGTTTGCCCATATGCGAACCAAATGCGTCTCCTTGGCCTGTCCATGTCTCCATACGCGACCAAAGGCCTGACTCTCTTGGACGTTGTTCCACCAGGGGTCGATAAGTATAACTCGGTTTGCTGATGTCAGGTTCAACGCTTGGCCGCCGCACCTCAGTCCGATTATCTAGAGATGGAGATGTTAGCTGAGCTGACAGACAAGGGAGGGCCGCATATTCTCTCTTACCATAATCTTCTTCTCTGGTTTTTCCTTGAAAGCGTCAATAGCCTTCTTTCGCCCGCGATCATCGATGCTGCCATAAAGATAGAGGAACTGTATCCCGAGCTGGCCCAGCATATAGCCCAGGATCTTCCCAGACATGACAAACTGGGTGAAAACTAAACAATTCCAAAGAAAGTCAGTCGAATATCATCAATGAGCTGATCTTTGTATCTAACGCATACCTAGAATCTTGTCATCTGGGTGATTCTCCTGCCATGTCAAAATCACGGCTAAGGCTGCAGTCAACTTTGTGCTGGGGGGCATCTGAAAATGGTTGGGTTTGAAGAAAGTTGCGGTAAAAAAACCATTCGCATCCTTCTTTCTGGCGATTCGTACGTTGAGGCTGTCCTCGCCTGGCTCCTTATAGGTCTTGTCTTCTTTGGCGGTGGTCATCATGGTGTCAAAAATCTCGACAGCAGGTCCTGCCCTGAGGGGTTGCGTGCAACTCGCGTGCAGACATTTCACCTTAAGGTTTTTCGTCAGCAGCCCTTCTGCGTATTTGCTTCTTCGTGGATTGATTAAACTTACCCCAGATTTTGCGAAAACCGTCTCACAGAGACATTTCATGCAATAAATGTGCCCACACTTAGAAAGTTAGCAATTGGGGGAGAACACCCTGAGTGGAAATGAACTTACCGGATAGCTCTTCATCGGCTCCTTGGGCATATCGTCTTTGTTGCAAATTAGGCATCGGCAGCTCTTGCTTCGTGCTCGAATCTCATTTCGAGACACCTTGAGAAAGTTCGGGACGTTAAATGAACCGCCAAATACGTTGGCCTTCTGTCCTTCCAATCTCTTCAAGCCTAGAGAATAGCCCGCGACTCCTTCTTGATGCTTCAGATTATCAATTAGTTTTCCCTTCTCGGATCTTGAATTGAGAATCTCCATGAGAGACTCCAACTCGACGTCTTTGATGGATTCCCTAAAGAAACGCTCTATGTCGAAAAAATGTGACACAGTTTGTCGAAGCCTGGTGGATTGAGCGAGGTAGATTTGGGACAGCTTATCCTTCTCACTCTCTGTGAGATAGCCCTTCTCTTGTTCTTTTCCTCTCATTTGACGGATGGCCTTATCGTAATGCTCAAAGACAGTTCTAGAATCGAGCAGTTAGTGAAACATCGCCTATAGTTGCTTGGGCCATCAACACGGCCGTGCTCTTGTCTTGGTCACGCCTGGCCTGCGATGGCATTATAGAGACACATGTCCAAATATATACACTTACTCGTAGATATCTTGCTCCTCTCGGCTTATAGAGACACAGATATTCTCACTGTGCATGGCCGGGAGATCAAGAATCTTGTGTCCCAAAAAGGAGTCTTTTTTTGTTCTGATGAAGTATCATATCAGCTCAAATGCTCAGACAGCTAGAGTGGGTATTAACCAACCTCCTGTACATAACTAATCCGACGAGGGCGTCGAAATTTTGCCTGCCTCGGAACTGCTTGCGCGTTAGAGAGTGTTCTCAAATTGGATGGGTTTCCATGGAGGCATAAATACTTACTCCGTCAACGAACTTGTTGTGGAAATTGAAGGATGAATCGGTGAATGGACAGTCAAGAAACTTAAGGTACGGGAAGAATTCTAAATTTTAAATGTTAGAATGAGTGACGTCAGAAAGAAGAGATCATGGTCGTCAACATGCCTTGGGGGGTGTTGGACAACGGTGTCCCACTTAAGCACCAGCGGAATCTCGAACTGAGGTCGCAACAAGCGATGGAAGCTAAGAGCATCAGAGATGAGACGAAACCATCGCGAGGACTAACTCACTGTGACCTTTAACGTTCTTGATCTGGTGGGCCTCGTCAAGTATGATTCGGTACCAATCAACTTTGAAAAGTTCTCCAGCAGCTTTGCTAAACTCGCGATTGAACGACACTGTGTCGTGTTCATATTTCTCTTTCCACTCTTGAACCTGAGCTATGCCAGGATGCTGATGCATAATGTCGCGGTAGGTTGCAAGCCTGATTAAGTCAGCAAGGTTTTCTGGCGGTTGGCAGATCTGAGGTTCAAAGCTGAGGGGGCAGACTTACACAAAGAATTTCTCTTTGTAGAACTCAGTCCCGGCATCATCTCCGAATCGGTAGATGGAAGCCAGATTCCGGATATGCTCTTTGCAATGCTTCCTTATTTCGTCCACCCACTGGCGAGCAATCATTTTGTTTGGCACAATAACCAAAGTAGCTTTACAGAATTTCTCGATATCCTCAGCTTCTGGAGGATGGCCAACAGCACAAGCAATACTGACAAGCGTCTTGCCCATTCCCATCTCGTCTCCAACCAATCCGCCAAGGGGAGAGGACCCGGAGCATTCACGCTCTATCATCCAAGACGCAATGGTGACTTGGTAGCTAAAAAGACTAGTCTCCATGTCTTTATGAGCCCAGAGTCCATTGTCTGCTACCATTCTCTTGTATCCGAAGCTCTTGACAGCCATTTTTAGATCTTTTTCCTGCGAAGCCATACGGCGTGTATCCCCGCCTTTAGGTATCTTCGCTTTGATCTGCGCGAATTGATCTGCTTGTGTAGTCGCCTTGATCGATCCCAGGCTCGGCAAGGACCCTTCACTGGCGGCATTGGGCAAGTCTTCGGTCTCGAAAAGCTTCTTCGCGAGCCTCATACAAGGCTCATTGTCCCTCCAGCCCGTCTGGTTCGCCGATTTCTTTCTCTTAGACGGTGCCGACTTTTGCGTCTCGGCCTTTCGCTTCAAGCCAGCTGTTTTAGCTTCTGCGGCCACGTTCTTGCGTCTAAAGAACTCCCTAGCTGTTCGGGCAAACTTGGTCTTCGTTGGATCCTTATTCTTTGACTTGGTTTTTTTGCCACGTGGGACCTTGGCATCAGAAGCTGGAGTCTTCGTTGCATTGGCTCCTTCGTTGTCTGAGTCCTGTTCAGAGTCTGTTTCTTCGTATTCACTCCCGTCGTCGCCTTCGCCAGGCCTGTGGCTCGAATTTTCTTGATGCTCAGGGCCTTCATCACCACCCTCGTCTTCTTCATCGACTTGTTGTGCCTCCTCCTCCCCTTGAACTTCATCATATTCTTGGTCAAAATCTGGGTCAAAGTGCTCCTCGTAATCTTCAGCCCTCTCGTCCCCGCGCGTACCATCATCTTCATCTGGATTTTGGTTTTCCAGGTTTTCGGCCATATCCTCTTGCTCGTCGTTCTGTTCTTCTTCGCTGTCTGACACATCGCCCGTGACCTTGAATTGACCAGAGCTGGAAATCTTGTGCCCAAAATGGGTAGCATCATCGCCCACTTCAGTTGAAGTAGGTTCGTCGCCGCAGCTAGCAACAGCTTGATTATCATCAAGGGTGGTAGTGTTGTGAACCTCCTGTTCGAGTTGTGTGTCCATTGCATCCTCTTCGTCCGTGAAAAAGAGAGATGCTTCTTTTTCAAGTGGAACCTGGGGCTCTCCTTGGTCATGAGTTCCAAGGTCTGGGAGGGCATAGCTGACTGGCTCCTCTGGAAGGTCTTCTTCGACCCTAGTCGAAGACTCTTCCAGACCCTCGGTCGCAGTGCTTGACATGGCTTGGTCAGGCTGCTCCTCTGATGGTTCCTCTTCAGGTGAGACTTCAGGCTCGTCGTGGCTTTCAGTCTCAATATCGAGCATAATTTCGTCGGCCTCGTCCTCCGAAGTATGCTCTTCGGCCAGGTCTTGCGAGTTCTCTTGCTCTTGGATGCCAGAGTCTGACATAGTTTGGTCAACCTGGCCCGTTGGATTGTTTTCTTCCAGCGGGGCTTGGGGCTCTTCTTGGCCCTCATTTTCAGTATCGGGTGCGCGCTCGAAAATTGTCTCCATTGGAGTTTCTTGAGGCTCGAGCTTCACATTTGGGGATGAGTAGCTGTACCGGGTGCCCAAGGAACCGAACACAGAGGGTTCCTGCTCTCGCGCTGCAACAGGCTCAAAAGTCGAGGATCCCTCATGGCTGTCTCCATCGTCTTCATCGTCATTGATGGTGATGAAGATGCGGCCCTCCATAGTGGGAGGTTGGGTGATGGTAATTTCTCTTGTTGGTAGCAGGAGACCTGAAGCTCTACTAAATTAGCTTATATAGCCACGTAGAAGTATTAAGAGTGAGAAAACATGAGTGGTGGCTAACCTTTTCAAAGCTGGGTAGGAAGTTCAGATAATTCCCAAGAAATGTATTGTTTTATAGGCGCCGCTAAAAGATTATTGTTCAAAGGAAAGCAAAGTGGAAGGCTATGCTGAAATGTCCCAGGATCCAAAGACGAAAGCGAAGAAGTGGAAAGATAGTTGGGGCTATGTATAGAAAAGAAATAGAGAAGATGCAAGTCTAACCCTTGAAGATCGCCTCATATGAATGGGAGATATATTCAAATGATATGCGTGCAGAAACTTTCTTCAAAGTGAGAAGGAGTAAGAGTAAGAGGTGGGGTGTTGGGGAGAAGAAGAGTGCGAGGTGACTAGGAGACTAACAGGAAGTCATCCAAGGCACGAAGGCACGAGAGAGAGAAAAACAGAAAGGGCGGCGAGGTACATAAGAAAGACCTGAAAGCCTTCTGAGAATTGCTGTAAGTGGCACGTAGCGCAAGTTGGTAAAATAAAATAAGAGAGAAGCAGGAGATCCGGCGTGCTTCGCATTCAGGCCTTATATCTGCCCAGACAGAAAATACGTGTTGGCGCATTCGTTGCGCCAAACATTGAAAATCAGTGTCCACACACTTTGGTTTGGAGCCTCGCCTACTCGAGACTCGAGCTCCATCTTGTTGCAACAAGGCCATTTCGCTACGGAAACTCATCACTTCAACAAGTAGGCGACATCAGCAAGGTCAAGGACTAATATAATTGAATACTCCCGCGCAAATCACCACTTATTTTCAACTGAGGGCTATAGTTCTCTAGATCTCACTAAAGTCCGTTAAACAAAAGGGGTGGATTACTACTGATATATATATATACATGTTGCAAACCGTAGTTTTCAGAGTTGGAGGATATGCACGATACTACCGTCCATCAGGCATTGCAGCCGTACCAACTCGGATTGAGTTAAAATGTTTTATATCATATATCCAATGCTAAACAAAATATATATCTGTCTTGCTCATATCCAGAACTAAAGGACGCTTCGTTGGTTCAACGCAACAACGTGGGGCTAAATATATGATGGATGATGCTGTTACTGGTTCAGTTTATCCCTTTCGGGACAGTGTTAGTGTGGCTTTCTGATTCTAGCAGACTTCTTGAATTGCCTAGCCTTCATAAATGAATTTCAGGAATGCTCTTGCGATAGCAACACCATCGTGGGGGATAGGTGCCCGTTTCATGCCATCAGCGTAGTCCTCATCGCTGAAGATGCCGGCCTTATGGCGGTTAAACAAGATTTCGGATATAATTTCGTCTGTGAACTCGGGGTGGCCCTGGACCGTAATGTACTTCTTCGGCAGATACATTCCCTGCACAGTGCAGATGTTGTTAGATCCGAGAGGGATCGCGTCCGGGGGAAAGTTGTACACAATATCTCGATGCATTTGGTGTATTCGCTGTATGAACAGATTAGCCACAACATGCGCCTATTGGGGCCGGAGGGCCTCACCATCTTCTCAAGTCCCAGAATCTCCTTGCCCTTTTCGGTGAGCTCAACATCTGTGACTGCAACTTCCCAACCCCTATCACTCTTTCCGAGATTCGCTCCAGCCGCCCTGCCAACAATCTGGTGGCCAAAGCAGATACCGACCACCTTGACCCGGCCACTGTCAAGGGCAGCCTTGACATACTCGACCAATTTTAATATCCATGGGTCGTCATCGAAGGCAGTGTGCCTAGAGCCTGTCAACCACAGGGCGTCGACGTCTTCGAGCTTAGGGTATGAGCTCAGGTCGTTGACAACGTCGTGCGACGTCACTGTGACACCCAAGTCCTCCAAGTCTTTCTTCGGTTCGTCGAGCGTCTGGCAGGCGGCGTTGAGTAAGGCTTTGAACACTCCGGTGTAGGAACCAAACTTGGCCTTGGTTTGGGGTTGGGGAGTGTCGCACTCCAGAATCGCTAACCGGAGAGGGGGAGCCATGGTAATGGGAATTCCTGGGGGGTAGTTTGAATGTTCGGTATACTGTAGGGAATATGCAGCCGAAGGAAAAGTAGCGATGCGCTGCAGATCAAATGCAATAAGTCGCCATCTGTCAAAGCCGCGTCCGATAGCGGCGGGGGAGGGGCAGTTGGTGGTCAGGGGATTTTGACGATAAGGCACTGGCCAATCAATTCTGGGGCGTTTAGCCTTGCAGGCGGTTGGCCATGGTCAAGACGGCGAGGCCAGTCCAGATAGGACTGATTATACAAGGCAGATTCTGTCATCAGGCGGTGGGTTTCCCATCAATGTTGTAGATTTATCCCAGAGTTCAATTGAGATTGGCGCATCGGACGGAGTATATGGCAAAGGCGGTTTGCGCTACGTCATCGGCTATCACATGGTGGCATGTCTCTGGTGCCTGAGCAATCACGAAACCACCTTAATCATCGTAGAAGGACTCAACTACCACACCGATCTCCCATCTGGTGTATTTCTAGAGGTATTCTAAATTGACTGAACGGGAGTGTTGGCTCTTGGCGCCATCGCGCAGTTGTTGACCTCTGTAACAGAGTGAGAGGCGGAGCTGTTTCCAACCAAGGTACCTCATTAAGGCAGAGCGTGTGTGGCAAACTTCATAGCATTACCACGATGGTCATTGACACTGCTTTGGGTATCAACTGAGATTTTGTTGGGATCATACATTATTGATTCTACGAAGAGTCATCATATTGAAGCGCGTTCTTGAACTAAACACGACCAACTACTGGTAAAGCCCGCCCAGACAGTCCCATACGCCTCGATATGAAGTGATTATGGAAGAAGGCTCATCAATGAACTACGCAGCAGGTATGGGTTGCGGCTTTAGCACCTTGCCATCTGATTGATTCAAGGCAGCGCCAATGTTATACGCCAGCCTAGGGTAGGTGCTCGGGAATTTATACCGGGAGTTTGTGCTCGTGCATTTCTAACCGGAACGAGAAGGAAAGCAATGATCCCAGAACATTGTGTTTTCTCGTTTGTTCGTGTACCGGGTCCCCTTTGGGTTGCAAGAGCTCGATCAAGGCATGTTCTTTCCAAGCGAAGGAGAAGAATGATCGGGACTGGGCAAGTCGGAAGAACGGTGTATTGCTGTGCGAAAGGCTTCATATTGTGGCTCGATTCGTAGACGACCTGGAAGACGAATTAGGCAACACCGAGAAAACAACATGAAGAACGAGACATTCCGATCTAAGAGCGCCTGCCCCCGCGACGGGAGCTCTGGTCGCAGTGGTTGGATGCCTACAAAAAGTATGAATCTTGGTCCATGCCAAATTGGACCTGAAACAGGGCGCCGTCAAGCAAACAAAGCCAGTGGGGAAGCTAATTTGCCAGCGTAAGCCGGATTATCTGTATATCCGTGGCTCTAGGTGGGCCGGAAGTGTCAATCGCTGATAGAGTTCTCCACTCAAGGTGCCCAGAAAGCGCTGGGGCAGGAGTAACCTTGCGGTACGTGCAGCCGTGGTAGGGAGCTGCCAGGTGTCGTTGCGTAGGTGCTCCCCAGTTCCATGCAGCAGCTGCTGCCTCCATCCAAAAAGAACGTAACAACTTTCCACTTCTTTCCTTTCACCTTCAACCCGTCATCCCCTACCTCTTCCTCTTCACGACGATAATCCGCGCGACCCCTCTTTCTGCTTGCCTCAATCAAGTAGACTGTATTGACGATCATTTGCAGTCGCGACTCTTGTTCTTCCTTCTTCCTTTCTCATCTCTCCCAGCGGCGTCTCCTTTTCTGCCAAACCCGCGTTGCCCCTTGTGCCGCGTGGCGCATGGAAGCGACTATTCATCTCTCAACCACAAATTGCTCCCCAGCTCCTGTTTCAGACGATTTAGGACTCTTGCAGACCACTGGCGACGACTTCAGTCGAACTCGCGGCTAGGAGTATCGAGTTGACGAAGGGCCATACTATTTGATTTTCGGGCACACCGGCGACATGGCGCCCCTACCGATTAAATTCCAAGAGCTGGTCCAGCTCACCAGCACCGGCGTTGACTCACAATCCATCGGCTTCAACACCTGCGTAAGTGACACCCATCTCCTCCCCACCCCTATTAGCCTCCACATCACGCATACGTCACCTGAGGGTAGGCAGCGGGCTAACTCTGAGGCGCTTCTCGCGCTTTTGTAGACACTCGAATCAGATCACTTCGTCTGTATTCGGGAAAAGAAGGACGAAGCTTCCCAACCCGAAGTTGTCATCATCGAGCTCAAAAATGGCAACAACATCACCAGACGGCCAATCAAGGCCGACAGTGCCATCATGCACTGGTCTCGCCAAGTCATCGCCCTCAAGGCGCAATCCCGCACACTACAGATCTTCGACCTCGAGCAGAAGAAGAAGCTGAAATCCTGCACGATGAATGAGGATGTTCAGTTTTGGAAGTGGATTAGCGAGTCCAGCATTGGTCTGGTTACATCCAGCAGTGTGTATCACTGGGACGTCTATGACGCAGGTCAGGACGCACCCGTGAAGGTGTTCGAGCGCAACGCGAACTTGAATGTACGTTTTTGATGAGAGAGGACATGGTAACTAGCTTTGACTCACTGATTTTTTAGGGCTGCCAAATCATCAACTACCGTGTTAATGGGGACGGAAAGTGGATGGTTGTGGTAGGTATCTCGTCACAAGGTGGCCGTGTGGTCGGTGCCATGCAGCTCTACTCCAAGGACCGTGGCATCAGCCAGGCTATCGAGGGTCACGCCGCTGCCTTCGGCTCTCTAAGGTTGGAAGGAGCTCCCCAGGACACTAAGCTCTTCACTTTCGCCGTGCGATCCGCCACCGGCGCGAAGCTCCACGTTGTCGAAGTCGACCACCCCGAAAACAACCCGGTTTTCCAGAAGAAGGCTGTCGACATCTTCTTCCCTCCCGAGGCGACCAACGACTTCCCCGTGGCCCTCCAAGTCTCCCAGAAGTAC